GAGAGGGAGGGGGGAAATTAGCAAACGATATTGAGGGCTAAAGTAGAGGGCAAATGTTTTGAGATTGATGAGGGCAACAAATGTACATGTGTGCTTGACTCAATGGACTCAACTGTGATAAGCATTGTATGAGCCCTCAATAAAATAATTTTTTTTGAAAACATGCTCCCAATTCATAGCAACATCTCTAGGTGCAGAGTAAAACTCTTCCATAGATTTTCTTTCTCTTATTGCAATCACTGTGGAAACAGATCTCTGGGCATTTCTTCAGCCACACCACTCTATGTGTTTGAAGTGCAGAGTTTTATCTTTAGCAGCTGATGGCAAACTGTTTCTACACCCAGGATCTTTCTGATGAAACAAGTCTTCATGGAGCACGAGCAATAGAAGAATGGGAGGTGTGTACAAAAGAGTTTCTCACCACAGAACACCGTGTTTACAAAGTTATACAAGAGGTAAACACACTGCCTCTGGCTTGATGCCAACTCACAAAGACCCCCACACGTAAGTAACATAGTAGAACCGTGCTGTAAGGTTTCTTTAGTCCTAGCCATGGGGATGACTCAGGTCATGGAAATGACTCATATCTGGGCCATATTCTGTTCTATTGCGTAGGATAGCCACGAATCTGTGTCAACTCAGGGCAGCTGAGAATTGCAACAACTGATGCTGAGAACATATGGTGGAGGATGTTGGATTAGCTTTGTAAAAAATTTGCTTCCCTGCCATATAGTGTTTGTTCCATGTCAGATAGTGTTCTATAATTTTTTATCATTTTATTAGGGGCTCATCCAACTCTTATCACAACCCATACATACATCAATTATGTAATTTGAGAATTCGGTTGGGTCATCTTTCCTTGGAATGAGTACAAATGTGAACCTCTTCCAGTCTTCTTGGAAAAGACCAAGCGTGGGCACTTCCAGTGTTCGATCAGCTTGTTGAAGCATTTCAATTGTTATCCATCCGTGCTTGGAGCTTGCTTTTTGGCCACTGCCCCCAGTGCAGCTCGGCCTTTGTCCTTCGGGACCGTCGGATCTCGGTCATATGCTACCTCTTGAAATGGTGGGCTATTGGACAGTCCTCTTTAGTACAGTCACCCTTTCCATGTCTCGGACATTGTTACGTATTTGCTGCATTGATTCTTCCACTATTTCAACGAGAAGCTTGACGTTTTCCCTTCAGTTCTTACCGTTTCAGACGCGCTGAGTGTGCTCTTGTGGCCTGACACGTTTTATTGGCACACTTTAGTTAGTTTCCTCGGTCTTTGTCTTCCTCATGTCTTCAGTTGCTGCCGCTGCTCTACAAGTAACAGCAAGTTTCGCAGTTACTTCTGACACCCACACTGATCTTTTCTTTCCTGTGTGCTTTTTAATGATCACTTGCTTTCTTCAGGAAGATGGTCTTGATGCCATCCCACAGTTTAGTAGGCCGCCTGTCATTAGGGTTCCATGCATTAAATGTGTTCTTTTTATTTAAAAAATCATGTGATCGGGAGCTCTTGCAGCTATCATAATACTCCATAGCTCAATCCCATCAAGCAGTGTTGTACAATCGCTACCGCAGTC